TAAAATATGAAATTTTAATTTTTAAAATTATGTTTCTCAATTTAGCTTCAATATCAAGCCCTATGTGGCCACCAATAAATATTTTGATACAGTTAATTTAAATTATTTAGCTACAGTGTTTGGCTATAACTTTGAAAATTGTTGTATAACCTACTTTGTTTTAAAACTCTCATTTCCAAATGTTGTTTTGAGAAATGCACTGTTGGAATAGGAAAGGAGCCTTAAAAATTCTAACTTTAGGGCTGGAAATGTGGTTCAGCAGTCAAAAATTCTTCCAGAGGACCTGGGTTCAGTTCCCAACACCCACATGGTAGTTCACAACTGTGTGTAACTCCAGTTCCAGGCATTTGACCTCCATAGGCAACAGGCATACATGTAGTGCATATGCAGACATGCAAAAAACACCCATGTACACATTTTAAAAGGAAAGTCTAACATTATTCATAGGAGTTAGACCAAAATAACTGAAATTCTAAATATTGAGACAGTGGCATAAAAGTAAAATTAAAAAAGAAAACCTTAATTTTACTTAATATATGCACCATTTATGTAAACTGTTTTCTTATTCATCACTTTTCAGGATGAGGACAATGAATATCATTCTTCATGGCAGGTGAATCCCATTATCCAGAACAACCAGCCAAGACAAAAGGGAATAAACAGGATAGGATGTGAGATTTCTAGAATATAAGATCCTGAGCAGTCCTCAGAGCGTGCTTAGTTCAGACTCTTCAAATGACAGCACATCCAAAGGGGAACAAATTTGTTCATATATAAGCTAGACATGGTGGCACATGATGATCCTAGTTTTAGGCCAGCCTGAGCTACATTGGAGAACCCTGTCTCAAAAGCAAAAGGCACTGCATATACACATACGTATGCACTAGTATAGAAGGCCAACTGATTTTTATGGTTCTGGGTATCAGACCCAAGAGATTGTTATATGCTAGACTACTTCTGAGATATATCCTCAGCCCTCAAAAAACTCACTTCATACACAGTATCATAGAATCATGTTGGTAGGTTCAGTTTCAATATGTCAGTTAAGTTGGTTTCCTTCTGTGCCTCAATTTTGATCTTCATCAGTAAAATAAAAAATAATAATTCTTTATAAGATTATTATGAAGTCTAAGAATCCCCTTAAAATAGAGTATAGATAAGCATATATTAAATACCTGTTGTATATATGGTTAGTAAATTGATGCTGTCTTTTCTATGATCTTCTATACAGCCTTAGTGAGTTTTTGTTGCTGCTGTTCATTTGATTTTATTCTGGTTTCTTTGTTGTTCTTGCAGTTGTTTTGTCAATTTGTTTTTGAGACAGGGTCTCACAATGTTGTCTGGGACTGGTCTCCAAATTCCTGTGCTAAAGCAATCCTACCACCTCCTCAGCATATTCCAAGGATCGAGGGCTATAAGTGCCCACCAACTGCCTGGCTCACAACAGCCCTTTGAATACAATGCTACTTTTAAAATCTGTAGTAGACTAAATAACTCTTGTCTCTCTTTTATTCAAACTCGAAATGGTTTTTGTTGAATGTATTTAGTTTGTTTAACAAATGAAGACTACTAACAATCTTGACTTGAAGTTCATTATACTTTTGAGTTATTGGAGTGTTCAGTAACCAACGTGTCTGTTTTAGCAGTCACTGGGATCAAACCCACAGCCTTCCCCATTCTAGGGAAGTGTCTCTTTAAGTGCATTTCTACTAATAGCGAAAATAACCAATTGCTAGAGTTTACTAAATAACAGGCAGTGTTCTAAGCATCTCCCAGATTGTAATTCTTACAATACTTAAATAGATAGGTTTTATTACTGTCACTCCCATTTTATAAATAAGGATACAGAGGCACAGAGATGTTAAACAATTTTCTCTAGTTCACACAATTAGAAAACAAAAGAGCTGAAATTCATACCCAAACTATTTAACCCTAGAACCTGTGCTATTAACTATTTTTATTTCATTTACACACACACACACACACACACACACACACACACAATTTTTTTAGGTATAAGTGCTCTGTCTGCATGTATGCCCACATGCATTACTATCTACATTTTTTGTTTTGTTTTGTGGGGCTTTTTTTTTTTTTTGAGACAAGGTTTCTTTGTGAAGTCTTGGCTGTCCTGGAACTAGCTCTGTAAACCAGGCTGGCGCTGAACTCTCAGAGATCCATGTGCCTTGCCTCCTGAGCGCTAAGATTAAAGGCATGCTCCATAGCCACTTGGCTATTATCTCTGTTCTTTAGTGAGGGCTGATCTTCCTTTACTCCTTTAAGGCATCCCAGAAAATTCTTGCTACCTGTGATTTCAATCTGAGCCAGCTTTCCTCTTTGACTTAAACAGCACCTTCAGTTTCTTCAGACTCAGGACAGATGTCTTCATACCTACTGGGATCCATGTTATTATCAGCACAGTTAGGTGTCTAGATGGGAAACTTGGTCATTGGTAAGTAAGAAACAATCATTTGGCCATAAAGCACTATCTTGTTCACCCAGTGTTTAGGACAGTTTAGATATCCTGAAAGAATACTAGATGAAGTAATGTGAGGAGTCCAGGAAGAAAGCAAGAGTAACACCCAAGAGTAAGATGCTGGCCTGACATCTGTAAAAGAGCAAAGGCAAGAAAAGGGACGAGGCCCATGTTGTATGATAAGAACATTTCACCAATATAGCCTCCATGAACATGGGAAGGAAGAGTGCAGAAGGCTGGCTAGTCAGATTGTCCTTCAGCTCTGCTGCCCACATCAGGAGATCTCAGAGACGGGGTCTCACTGTCTATCTCTGGCTAGTCTGAGACTCACTATTTAGACCAGGATAGCCTCAAGCTCAAGAGATCTGCCTGTGTTCTGGGATTAAAAGCATGTGCCACTATGCCAGCTCAGAGGTATGTTTTTATCACCGCCACAGTGAGGCATCAGAAGTGAACAGGACATGTAGGGCCCAAACCTCTAAGGGAACCTATTAGAAAGAGACAAATGAAAGCAAGGAAATGAAATGATAGCAATCAGTGCTTTGATGAGTAAGACCTGGTAATAAGGAGTGACTAGACTGCTGGTTAAGAAAAGGCCTCTTTGCTGAGGTTTGACTAGTCATATGAGAACAGTTGTGGTTTTAATTCTTTTTTTATTTTTTATTTAAACTAGAGACAAGCTTTCTTCACATGTCAATCCCAGCTCCCTCTCCCTCCTCCCCTCCTGCCTTGCCCCCCCAATCCCCACTCCACTCCCCAGGGAGGGTGAGGCTCTCCATGGGGGATCTCCAGAGTCTCATTTCATTCAGGGCAAGGCCTAGGCCTCCCGCAATTGTCCAGGCTGAGAGAGCATCCCTCATTGTGGGATAGGCATGCAAATTGTCAATCTCTGTGTCTGTGCTACTGGTGTTATGTTCAGGAAGTGGTCTCCTGTACCAGTTCATTCGAGGGTACTTCCAACTTTCTCTTCTAAGAGGTTCAGTGTGACTAGATTTATGTTGAGGTCTTTGATTCATTTGGACTTAAGTTTTGTGCATAGCGATAGACATGGATCTATCTGCAGTCTTCTACATGCCAGCATCCAGTTATGCCAGCACCATTTGTTGAAAATGCTTTCTTTTTTCCGTTGTATAATTTTAGCTTCTTTGTCAAAAATCAGGTGTTTGTAGATGTATGGTTAATATCAGGGTTTTCCGTTTGATTCCATTGGTCTACCTGTCTGTTTTTGTGCCATTACCAAGCTGTTTTCAGGATTATAGCTCTATAATAAAACTTGAAATCAGGGATGGTGATGCATGGCAGGCCTTTCTAATACATATGATATTAATGTTTTTGCCCTCCCGGTCATATTAAAAATATAGCTCTCTTCTTTTGGACAGTAGTGAAAAAAAGTAGGGATGCTAAAATGTGAAGATAAGATTTGAGGGGTGAGTAGGAAACTAGAGCAGTAACAGAAGAAGATCCCTGTGGCTGCAGAACTAGAGACAGCAGCTAAGGAACAGCTGGCAGCTGCAAATTGGGTCCTGCTAAGCTCTTGTACCTGCAGTCCTTGACTTGCCACACAAAGGCCAGTCGACTGCATACACACCCTGGCACAGGTCCTGTCTAGTCAAACACTGAAAGTTTGGTAAAAGGAATTCCAGATCTCCCTCTATACCAGATTCCTCTTTCAGTGAGATACTGAAAGGGTTTTAGAGCACCTATGTGCAGCGACCACTGATGTTTCTTCCTAGAAAGCTTGAGCAGTCTTTACAAACTTTACAGATTAAGGGCATTTAGACTTACTCAGTTTCATAGCAAGTACACCAAAATTCAGGCTCCAAATCTCAAATTCCTTCCCCCAACAATACACTGCCTCTCCTGAAGCCAGTGTTTTCCTTCAGATGCTTGTGTGTGCCTCCTAGTTCTCTAGGGGAAGCTAGAGCTCTTAGGCTCCTAGCCGTGCATCCAAACTGATCTGTTTAAGCTATCCACTACTAATGATTCTCAGTGAATTCCCACAATTATGTCTGACACTGGAGTTTACACAAGTTGACAACTGTCTTAGTGACAGTCACTGTGAAAGAAACAAAAACTCCCCCTTACAAAGTTGATTAGCTTTAACTGTTGTTAATGCTTTTTAATATATTTTTGTGGAAAGTTTTCAAGGTTTAAAATGCATCCCTAAAATTTGAACTTATCATACTCACGGAATGGATTGATCTCCCTGCCCCCAGGAATACTAATGGGTTCCCAGAGTTCCTTAGGGGGAAGGATGGAAGTACTCCTGTGAATATAAATGACTCTTTGCTTCTATGGTATGAGCTCATAAATCAAGGACAAGATCCACCCTTTGAAACTGGCCTGAGATTTCTAGTATAATGCCTACAGTAAATGCTCATGACTCTCAAAAATGACAAGACTATTTCATTCTAGTGGTTACAAAAAAAAGTGACTTTAGGTTCCATGCCCAGCACTCCCTTTCCACATTACCCCCCAAAACAGCTTTATTTCAAGTATGAATGAACACTTTGAGGAGACTACCTTTCAACAAAGACCCTAGCCAACCCAATCCCCCCACAAAGGGACAGGAGAAAGGACAGACTTGGTAAGGTGAGAACAAAGCTTATTAACCTAATGAGCAGAACAGTGTCTGATTATTGTTCAAAACCAGAAACATACACAGCCCAGGAAACTTCACAAAGTGAGAACAATTTCCTCCAGCCAGAGAGAATTTGGAACCTGGAGCTGCTCAATCATTCTACTGATCAAGGGAGGAAAAGTTCTGGTTTAATTGATTTCTTATCCAAATCCTGCTTTTTGCTAGGGCTTGGAACACTGTGCCTTTGTCGGAGAAACGGTGTTCTAGATCCTGACTTCAAAAGCTTGTATCTTGTTGTGTATGACAGATTTGTGAATTCCCAACTAAAATTCATGGTGAAACTAAGTACTGTGAAAGATGGAAAGAAAGGCATGATTAATTCTGACTAGAGGCCTGATGCAAGGCGTTTGTGTCTCTAAGAGGAGTACTCTGGGGCAAAGAGTTCTCCAAGGATATATAACCAAGTGTCATAGCACTAAGCTACAGCCACTCTGCTTTCCCCTGTGCATTTTATGGAATCAATTTCCACTAATATATACCTCAGGATCATATGTGCCAAGGTCAGGATGTTCTGACTTGGCTGTCCTAAGCACTGAGATGTTCCTTCTCAGATTCTTCCATGGAGGGGGTTAGAGAATTGTAGTGACAGAATGGCTTCCTGGGATCTCATGTTGCTGTCTGTCTCTGCCACCTCTTTCAACTTCCTCTGCTTTATGGTGATGATAAACACTAGAAAACATATTTTTGAAGTTAGAGAATTATTAATAGTAGTCTTTAAGTTTGATCTAACAGTTGTTTACTTACTATGCAAATATGAGGAATGTCATAAACTTAGAACAAAACAATCCTCCAGCCAGCCAGTGTTCTGATGGTCAGATCTTATGACTTCTATATAGATACATACTCTATAGAGAATACCACTTCATTCATAGTGATACAGCTTGCTGCGGGACTAAGAGATTTGAATTCTAATTCCACAGTTCATTTATGACCTCACTGTAGAGCCTTGAACAAGTAGTTTCCCTTCTCTGGGCCACCATTCATTGAACTGTAGATGAAAGATTTGGGGGACACTATCAGTGATAAATGAGGAATTAGACTCCAGAGAATCTTCTGTTTGCCATTTGATGAGGCTATTCAGTGGAGTCCTTTATTTATTTGCACTTATAATTAAGAATTACTTACCTAATTATGGTATGTACGTCAAGCTTGTGATTATGAGTTCAAATGATCTGGAACTGCCAATCCAGTCTTGCCCTTCACACTTACCAGTGGTCTTATATCTTTTTAGTTCTCTACCCATCTGGTTTTCTAGTTAGCTTTAGGATCCTCTCTCGTTCTGTTTTCCAAACTCATTCATCAACCATTTTCTCTGGTTAGACCTTTAGAAGTTCACTTCTACTATCCCACTTCTTGGAATGTATTGAGAATTAAATAATTGCCTTTTATTGACTGGGTGGTGTAGCTGAGTGGTAGAGCGATCACCTAGCATGTATTAGGCCCTGGGTTTGATCCTCAGCACTGCAAAACAAAATAAAACTAATATGATGATGCCTATATTTCCTCATCTAGAGTTCAGTGAATGGTGGCCCAGAGAAAGAACACTGAAATAGACTCTAAAAACATGGATCAAGTTCTAAAATCACTTTACTTTTGCTCTGAGCAAAACTCTTAATGTCTTTATATGCCTCATTTCCCTCACTGTCATGCCAAATGCCAAGGAGGCCCTGCAAAGCTCTTTGAAGGATTCTTTCTGTTACACATTGTTGCTTGGGAATTAACTGTGAGTAGTTACAATGTGAGTAGTTACTACAGTCAGAACATGGATGGCTTTCAAAGAAAAGATTTGGAAGTATTTGTTTCTTTATTTAACTTTCTTAGCTCTGTGGCTTGGAGATATATATATATATATATATATATATATATATATATATATATATATATATATATATATGACTACAGGTGCTTAAAGAGGCCAGAGGTGTCACATCACCCTGGAACTGGAATTATGTATAATTGTAAGCTGCCCAGTGTGGTGCTAAGAACCAAACTCATGTCCTCTACAAAAAGCAGTAGGAGTCCTTCCTCACAGGGAAACTAGAAATAGTTGGTAAATCTTTAGTAAATAGTAGCTGTAATTTATGGTCACTGTTATCCTCTCTGTTCTTATCAGTTCCCCATGTAGCATCTAGGTTAGTTGACAAGAAAAATGACAGTTGCTGTCTTGTCATCCATGCATCCAACTCATCCTTCTTGACCCTCTCAAGGTTTCACAGTAAGAAGAAGTGAGTACTGTGCTAAAGACTTTCTATAGAAAGCTCTCTAATCCTCCCATGTCCAAGTCACAGAGGTCAGAGTTAGAAGAGACAGGCTTTGAGTCCAGCCTAGGCTCCAGGATTTTGTTCTCCCTGTGTCTGGATTCTGAGACTTTTGGGGATGTGGATTATTTGTAGAGTAGGGATACAGATAAAAAGGGCATTGAGATAAGGGAACTGGTCATTATATGGCCAATCATCTTTTCCAGAAACACTTGCCAGCTCTCCTTTCCTGCTCCTGTTATCACTTGCTGTTGATGGCTGGACTGGCCTGGGCAGAGCCCCTCTGCCGAAACCCTCTGAAGCTTTCCTACATTGCAGTTTTGCAAGGAGATGGGAGGAGTATTTACATGCTGGGCAGGCTTCCCAGGGGTGGTTGTGGAAAGGAAGGGGAGTGATTTTGTAGAGCCCTAAAACGAAGCCAGGAAGAAAAGGAAAAAAATAAAACCCTGTTTAAAAGGAAACAATTTGACTCAGACATTTGCAGCCGTTATCTTTAGTCTAGACTTAGAGATAGAAGCCAGGCCAGGAGTCTGGAAACCTCCCTTTTCTTCTTGCTGTGTTACTGACCTTGCTAATGACCCAGAACACAGCATTGCAACAGCATGTCCATCTCATACCAAAAACATCCCAGCCATACATTGTCTAATGTTTTTCCTTTATTTGTACCATATTTTCTTCTCTTAAAAGAATCCAGGCAATAAAAACAAATCTTTTTAACATTTTATATATGTGCATGGTCTCTTTCACACTCTGACCTCCACTCTGAAAACTGCCATATAACATAGGGATTTTAGGCCAAGTATTATCCTCCTAACTCCAAAGGCAGGACTAAAGCTCCAAACTGGGCAGGATCTCAGTCTGATGATGGCAAAACCAGACTTAGGGTCTGGCTGAAATGACTCCTGTCCAGACATGAGGGTCACTGTCCAGAAATGATTTTCCACCTCACTTGGGTCTCCGAGTCATATTGTCCCGCTGTAATTATGAGGTGAAGTGGGAGTAAAGGAGGGGTGTGGGATGATGAAACTAGAAAAGGGGGAAGATCTCTTACTCAAATATATACCACTTTAGTGAGAACAGTTTCCACTTCACATCGGAAATAAGGAAAAATAAAGGTAGGTTGAGCTTTGTTTTATTTTGAAGCAGGTTCTCACTATGTAATCCTAGCTGGCCTGGAACTTGCTGTGTAGATCAGGTTGTCATCAAACACACTATGATTTTTCTGCTTTTACCTCCTTAGTGCCTGGGCCAAAGGGGTGTGCCACCATGCCTGGTCTTTTTTGTTTGTTTGTTTGTTTGTTTTTGAAACAGAGCCTCATTATCCTTGACCAACCTAGAATTTACTACATAGCTCAGGCTAACCTTGAACTCAAAAACATGTTCCTGCCTCAGCCTCCCAAGATTTTAAACATGAGCTATTATGCCTGGCAGGTATATATTATTAGACTACCATTAATCTCTGCCCACACGTAATAGTTTGCTAGGATTTGTATGTGTATGTGTGTGTGGTCTTGTTTTGTTTCCTGTTGCTTTGTTCTGATGTTTGAGACACAGTCTGTAGCACTATAAAAAAAAGACCCAGAGACTGATATTAGGGTTCAAGATTCAAGCTGAAGATCAAAGAAGCAAAGCAGCCAAGCCACTGTTTCTTACCTCTACCTCAGGCTAGAAGGGCTGATCCTGTCTCCACGAGCTCTCACCAAGCCTCAGACTGCTGCCTCTCCTCAGTATGTCTGGAGAATCAATCCCCACGTGAGACACTTTGCATTTTATACCTCCCAAGTGCTGAGATCATCTTTGTGTGAGCTGATTCTCTTTAGGACTGGATCAATTTCGTGTAGCTCTGTGCGGCCTTGAACTAACAGAGATCTGACTACCTCTACCTCTCAAGTGATAGGATTAAAGAAGTGTGCCACCACTGCCTGGCTTCTATAGCTAACTAGTATGGCTGCTTTGCTATTTTGATCTCCAGAGACTTTAATAAATCATAAACAATATATCACCACAACAATCTCACTGTACATCCAAGAATGGCCTCAAGTTCACTGCTTAGCCAAGCATGACCTTGAACTCCTGAGATTCCAGGGTATGTGTCATCATGCCCAGACATGTACAGTCTTTTTTAACCCATTTGAAGTGTACAAGTTGTACAATCATTATGACAATCTAGTTTCTGATATTTTGGGCTAGTATGATAGTTCAGTAGGTAAAGTTTAATCCTGATGATAGAACTCAGGTTGCCAGGACTGGCAACAAGCACATTCACACACTGAACTATTTCACTGGCCCTGAACATATTTCTGTACAAATTCATTACATAGACATAATCTTACCTAGGATATACACCTACACGTGAGACTGGTGGGTCATGTAGATTTAACTTTTTGGAGGGGATAGGTATATTTAGCTTGTTGAGAAATTATCGAACTGTATGTTTAAATCTTTTAATGAGATTTATTTCACATACCATTAAATTCACCTATTAAATATACAGTTCAGTGGGTCTTAGTGTATTTATATGGGTGTGAAGCCATCTCCTCAGCCTTAATTTTAAAAATGTTTCCAGAAGCAACTTCATAGCCATTAGCAGTCATTCTCCCTTTTTGACTGCCCCCCCCAACCCCATGTTTGCCTTAAGCATTCATTTTGTCTGCTTTCTCTCTGTGGATTTGTCTGTTCCAAACACTGTACATAAGTTATACTGTATAGTCTTCATCTTTTATAACTGGCTTCCTTTACAAAATACATTGTTTTAAAGGTTCATCAAAATAGTGTGTATAGCCGGGCGTTGATGGCACACGCCTTTAATCCTAGCACTCAGGAGGCAGAGGCCCGTGGATCGTGGATCTCTGAGTTCGAGGCCACCCTGGTCTACAAGAGCTAGTTCCAGGACAGCCTCCAAAACAATACAGAGAAATCCTGTCTCGAAAAACCAAAAAAAAAAAAAAAAAAGAATAGTGTGTTTCAGTATTTCATTCATTTATATGTTTAACATTCCACTTTGTGGACTGCCATATTATATTTAGTCACTCATTAGTTAGTGGGCACTTTTGGCTTTTTCTTCTTAAGTTTTACTTATTCTTATCTGTTTATGTGAGGGCTGTATGTTAATGTGTACCTGGTGCCTGTGAGGGCCAAATGATGGCTAGATCCCCTGGAATCGGAGTTACAGGTTGTTGTGAGTCACGATGCTGGTCCTCGGATCTTCTGCAAGAGCAGCAAGTACTCTTAACCACTTTAGCCATCTCTCCAGCTCCAATTTGGTGATTTCTATTTTTTTGGTTTTCAGGAATAATGCTGTTAGAAATATTCATGTGTTACATTTTGGTTGTTTGTGTTTCATTTTTATCCTTTCAGCAACCCTCTATAATAAGCAGTAGGGTATATGGTACTAGTAACTTTTCACAGTTGAGGTGGGCAAGGTTCATCAAAGGCAACTTACTTGCTCAGAGTTAAATAGCAAGCTAGAGGCAGACTTACAAAGGGAAACCAATCTTTCAGTTGTTCACTTGATATGTCCTTTTCTATTATATACATCATACCATGGAGATTTTGTTCTGTGAAGTATTTGGATATAATTTTGATATTTTTAATTGTAGTCTGGTATGTGGAGTGCTTGTGGTGT